CGGTGCTAAACTCTGCACACTCGCGTGGAGACGGTTCTCGGGAAGACTTAGACTCAGCGCAGGAGTCTCAGCCCGAGCTCACTGACGGTCTGAGTCTGGTTACAATTCATGGACTCACGCTCTTTTTTCTTAGGGAGAGAATCCGTATCTTTTACCAGATTTGGCCTTGGTCTGTGAACCAAAAAAGGTTTAAGAAATGGTTCCCTTGAGCAGTGCTGTCCAGTAGAACTTTCTGCAGTGAAGGAAATGTTCTGTACCTGTGCTGTCCGCTGCGGTGATCACCAACCACTGGTGGCTGCTGAGCACTTGAAACGGAGATAGTGCAAGTGAGGAACTGAAGTTTTAATTGTATTTATATTAGTTAATTTAGATTTAACTTGTTTTTAATTTACCAAACTTTTTTTAAATTGCAGTATAGTGGATTTACAATGTTGTTTAGTCTCTGGTGTACAGCATAGTGATTCAGTTTACACACATATATATTCGTTTTCAGATTCTTTACCATTATAGATTGTTGCAAGCTATTGAATATGGTTCCCTGTGCTGTACAGTAGGACCTTGCTATTTATCTATTTTGTATGTAGTAGTTTGTATCCGCTCATCCCAAACTCCTAATTTTTCCCTTTTCCCCCTTCCCCTTTGGTAGCCATAACTTTGTTTTCTGTGTCTGTGAGTCTATTTCTGTTTTGTAAGTAAGTTCACTTACATCATTTTTTTTAGATTCCACATATAAGTGATAGCATATGGTATTTGTCCTTCTCTGTCTGACTTACTTCACTTAGAATGATAACCTCTAGGTGCATCCGTGTTGCTACAAATGGCGTTATTTCATTCTTGTTTAGGTTGCTACTATGTCTTAGCTACTGTAAATGGTGTAGATTTAAATTTTAAACAGTCACATGTGGCTAGTGGCTACCATATTGGACTGTGAAGCCTGAGATGATAAAAATTCAGTGGTAGAATTTTAGACATTTTGGAGAGGTGGCATTTTAGGGACTCTTATGAGCAGGAATTTCTCAGAGTCTCTAAAATCTGAAAAACTCATCCATCCATCCACTGGGGCATGTGTGCACACATCCATCCATCCATCCTCCGCTCGGGCACGCATGCACACATTCACCAGCACTGACAACGGCTGCACAGCCACCGCACCTGCAGCACAGTGGGAAGACAACACATGGCGACTAAAGCGGTTCTTGCAGTTCACTCGGGGCCAGTGGATCTGCCCGGGATGTTCAGGGGGGTCTCTTTGGGGGCAGCTCATATTTAAGAGCAGTTCCACCCTGTTCTATAGTCTGAGCCTCATGACACTGGGCAATCTTGTGAGCAAGAGAACGTTTCTTCCACTTGGAAGGCTGCTTGGTCCCAGGTGATGAAGAAGGAGTATGTGTGTGAGGGGACTGCAAAGTGGAAGAGCCTGGGGGTGTCTCCTGGGTGATCAGATTGAGTTTGTAAATGGAAATTTCATCGTTAACTTTATGAGGCAACCTTTGGGAACCTGGGGAACTTGGCATCTGGCTTTCATTGATTTTTAGTCTTTTCTTGCAGGTTATCACCAGCTCACCTACTCCCGGGATCATGCTGAGGATCAATTAGCTGTTGTGGATAACGGTCTTATAGCAGGGCCTGTTGCACACTTATTACTGCTCTTGGGAGCGCCCAGGAAGCGTTGGAGCGGTCGGTGCTCAGTACCTTTCTGGGGAATGAAGGACTGAGGTTGCTAAGGACACAAATTTAAAAAGCATCAAGCAGACCCAGACGAAAGACAAAGGTCAAGGGCTGCGCAGCCTTTGCTTCCTACGAAATGGCCCAGTGCCATGACCAAGGCCATCTGGTCTCTGCAGGCCCAGCAAAGGAAGGCTCCAGCGATGGGCTTTGTGAACAGGCGGGCCTGTGTGGGTTTGCCGTCACGGCGCCGTGGCCCCTGCTCAGGGCCGCGGTTTCTCACGTGGGCGTGGGCCAGACACTGCTTGAGACCTGCCCTGGCTGCACTGATCTGAGTACTTGCCGCCTGCCTCCAGCGGGGCCTTTCCAGCCCAGAGGCATAGTGACAGCATCCATCCTCCAGCCAAGGGGGCTCCACCATGTGAACTTACTCAGAGACCGGAATTTGGGTCCAAATGACCCATTTTGCAACAGCTGAAGAATTTCCAGTTGTGTCTGAGAACGAGCGTGAAGCCCAGCAGTGGGGTGGCACTGGAGGACAGCTGCAAGTGAGTTCTGGGGGCGCTCTCGGGTCACCAGGGGAGGGCGTGGGCCGGCGTCCACAGAAATAGATGGAACAACCCCACAGGGCCCAAAGCATGCACTGTAGAATCGTTAAACTTAGTTCGGGTGAATAACCCCTTTTGTGTCTGGCTGCCATTAAGCTGGACACGGCCGTGACTCCCCTCTGCCGGCTGCCTGCAGCCCTCAATGTGGCCTTTGTCTTGTCAGCACAGAGCCCTCTGGCCTCCAATTCTTCTGTTCCGATTAAAATGCCAGAATGGGTCTCCAGGTCGCCACTGGTTCTCTGTCCTCTGAGAAGAGGAGGGACGGTGGAAAGCAGGCCAGGTTGTCCAGAGGCGCGGCGGTGTCTCCAGGTAGGAAGGCGGGGGAGGGTGGTGGGGAGGGCGTTTCTAGAAGACTCTGTTCCACACGCTCCTGGGGAGCGAGGTTTCCGTGCTCCGGGGCGGGGGGGGCTCAGCTGCGGAGAGGAATGTGTGCTGGCATCTCCTGGAATGACCTCAGTCTCGGAAGGAGTCCTTCCAAGCTGGATGTTTCTGAAGAGTGATGACCCCGGGCCGCCTGCCCGCACAGCGGGGGGGTCTTGCTCACCCTCTCTCTCCTCCTCTGGCGGGTCTAACACGAGTAGGGAGGTGAGGGAGCTCGAAACTGGGAGTTGGCCAGACCTGCTGGCTCAGCCACAGGAATTCCTGGTTAGGGAGCGTCAGGCAAGTGTGCTCATCTCTCTGAGCCTTGGTTTCCTTAGCTGTAAAATGGGATGAGTCAGTCTATCCCACAGAATCATTGGTGGATGACAAGACTGTATAGGAAAGAAGTTACATTAAGAAGAGTGGAGTGTTCACCATCATTATTTAGTGCCTTTATTCAGCATTAAGGCTTCGAGATCCCCAGTGGATTCCTCCCATCTCGGTTTTCTCAAAGAACCTTTTCACCTTCAAATCTGACCTCCAGACAACTGGTGTGTTTTACTCCAAGAGCTGCTGGTTTTAAGCCATTGTTTCTGCATTCAGCTTTGGCAATGCACCGTCCTGTGCCATCTGATACCTGCTCCCAAGCTCTCCCTCTCAAGGTCAGGGAGTCAGGGGAGGCACAGAGATGGCCAAGGAGACCTCACAGCGGAATTCGACGGAGCTGCAGACGTGGTCTGTCGGACGTGGTCCATGACACGTCCTGTGTGAAGCAGGGGCCATGGGGGAGGAGACGTCCAGGGGTTTCTAGGGGGCCCAGCCAAGGAGAGAATCCGGGCTCGCCCCACTCCGTCCCGTGCCTGGGAAGTCACGTGATCTGGAGGCAGGCTCAGTGCCGGGCCAGTCGTTCCAAAGGCCGGAGCCGATCAGAATTCTGGTGCTTGTCACCCACTCTCATCTGCAGGCACCTCTTCCAGACCTCCTGAATCAGGATCTGCCAAAATGTGGTTTTATAAGGGCCTTTGGGGACTTCCAGATTGTTGCATCTCAGTCCAAGTGTCCCTCATCTACCCTGCTCAGTCCTTGGTAACCACTGAGGGTCTCCTCTGTACCAGGGAACTGCCCTCAGACAGCCCGAAGACAAGACGAGAAGAAGACAGATCACAGCCTCAGGAGTGAACTCAAGGCGGTGAAATGGCGCCTCTCACTCAGCCAGGCTGTGGAGCGCCCGGCGAAGGCTCCGCACTGAAAGGGGTGTGAGATCACAGGGTGGCTCGTGCCAGTCTTTGTCATGGGCTGGCCCTGCGAGCTGTGAAATGTGGCTCAGACCTTGAGCTCGGACTCCAGCTGGGCCCGAAGGGGGTCCGCGTCTCCCTGTGTCCGTGGGACTGGCGGGCTGGCAAGACCCTGGGCGAGCTGGCAGCGCTGGCGAGAGGGCGTGGGCGGGAGGTCTGGACGTAGGTGTTGAGAGCAGATGTGCCGGACCGTGTTGGGAGCAGCGGGAGCCCTCTGCCTGGACCGCGTCTGAACGCCGCGAAGTGAGGGCGGGGGCCGGGGCTGACGGAGCTCTTTCCACGGGGGTCCCAGCAATGCTGTTCGGGAGCACAGGTGGCAGAGTGGCCCTCAGAGCGGAGGAGGCAGGCCGGGTCCTGGGGGGACTCCAGACCCCACGTGGCTGTCGGGGAGCAGGGGTGAGGGCAGGGAACCTTGCTGGGAGGCGGTGGATGTGATTCCCTGTGCGGACCTGGTGGGAGAGCTGACCCCTGGCGGTCGCGGACGACCCTCCCATCTGGGAGCAGGATGGACCTCTGCAGCACTCACAGGAGGCCTTCCTGGTGATTCCCCGAAGCACAGTTACTGGGAGGAGATGCCTTGGGGGTGGTTGCGGCAGACCCGTGCTGGATGGGCGGTGAGCACCAGGAGCCGGCTCAGTCTGAGTTAACACTGTTGAATGCTAGGGCCTTTGTGTACCAAGAACACTGAGGAAGCCGGGGAAATTGGGCGCCGTGAAGGGATCAGCGCATTTTGAGGGACGAGAGTGGGGTTAGGAGTGGGTGAGGCCGTCTCTGGGGCTTGTTTGTGGGGTGTGAGTCTAAGGATGGCGGGGACAGCAGTCCGTTTTGTTGTTGATTTACAACGTTGGGTTAGTTTCTGGTGTACAGCACGGCTATTCACGTATGTGTGTATTTATACACACACACACGTGTGTACCTATTCTTTTTCATCTTTTTCACTACAGGTTGCTACAAGCCGTTGAACACAGTTCCCTGTGCTGCGCAGGAGGACCTTGCTTGTTCTGTGCATGGTAGTTTGTATCAGCCAGTCCCAAACTCCCAGTTTATCCCTCCCTCCCCCCTTCCCCCCGGTGACCATAAGTTTATTTTCTGTGTCTGTGAGTCTCTGTCTGGGAAACAGCAGTCTGAACCCAGTGGTTCGTAGAGAAACATTCTTTGGTTAATTAAGAATCTGAAAGTCCGTATGAAAGTAGGAGGCACTTGGTGGAAAGTCCGTATGAAAGTAGGAGACAGTGGGTGGGGCACATGGCCC